GTCCTGTTGCCCAGCTGTCTCTAAATACTCATGTTTATCTCAGCCTCAGTCAGAGAAGTTTCTATTTTCCCTGACAACAGTTAGTGTGTGCGTTCATTGCTGGTCATCAAGAATGAGCAATAAAAAAAAAAAAAAAAAAAAAGAATGAGCAATAATGGAATTAGTGGCCCTAAATAGAAGAACAACATCGTCTCTTCCAAGGCTCATGGAATGAGGCAGAAAGAATATAAGTACCAGAGGATGGGGAAAAACGCTTTTGGTCATAATATGGCCTTTATACTCATGAATTCACTGCACAGAACAAGGCTGTGCTCATGAACATTTCATCCCCACCTCTCTCTGAAGAACTAATGGCAGTAAGAGATGGCTAGAAAAGAGGGTACCATTTTCTTCAGTGGTATAGCAATGATAAGTTGCCAAAGCTCCTTAAAATAACCCATGCTCATGCAAGCAACTCTAACCAAACTCTGTATCACACACAGCAAGAAGATGTGAAAGTAGAGGGGGCTTGGAGAAAGTAGAAGGCTTCATTGAGAGAGGGAGCAGAATGAGAGGCCATGAGGGGTAAGAACAACTAAAAGGTGTGTGTGTGTGTAAACTGTTAATAAAAGAGGGGAGCAGACTGCCAGGGAGGATTTTTAAGTCTTTGGGTGTGTGTCCCCAGAAAGTACTAAGGTAGCTTTGGGACCTGAGAATGTTCTTCCTAGAGCAAGTCCTTGCACAGAGTGAGTTCTCCTTTCCCCCTTAGCCTGGCTTCTGGTCTTGTTAGAGTTTTAACCTCTGTGGTGTAACAATTTCCTCCGAATTGAAACATTTCCATATTTCAATTAGGAAGGAGGCGTGATGCTCATAAGATCTAGGAAGTAAAACAAACAACTTACAAGACACAGAAAGATCCCGAAACTAACAAGACTTCTGGAGGTCCACTCAAGGTTGTGCTGGCCACAATACTCACTGGAAAGAGCAAACTTTTCTGAGGGATTGATGAAAAATTTTCCAGAGAGCCTCAGGAATGCAGGTTTCATGAGTCAAGAAAGCCACTGCGTGATGGGATGGGCTTTTTCAGTGAGGCAACTGCCTTTGAGTCATCCATACTCCTGTAGGTCAGTTCTTGCCCATCCTCCTGCAAGGGACACTGATAAACTTACTGCTTCACTAGGAGCTGTGGCTGAAATTCTTTCTGTGATCTGTCATTGGTGCCCTATCTGGGGCGAATAAAGCTTTTGTCCTTATCTATCTAGGAACAGCCACACACACAGCCTTCTGGCTGCTCTACTTCTGGGTACACACCTACCATAAATAAACAAGGATAGCAAGCTAGTTGTTGTGCAGAAATTTAGCTAACCCACAAACAGAGCCAGCTTCTCAAAAGACTAAAGTAATTACACTGCAAGATGAAATCACTGGCGTCAATCACTCCGTAAATACCACAACCTGAGTAAAAGTTAAGCCTGGACCCTCCCCCAAACTGTGCCCTCAGCTCAGATGAGATGGTTAGATAGAACTTTCTGGAGCTCCTAGGATGAGTACACATCCTAACACATGTAACAGACAGTTACATGGAGATACGTAGGTGCCAATGGACTGATGATGGCTTCTAGGGCCAACACTTTAGGTCACTGAAGTAAATAGAAGACACCGGGTTGTGTTTAGTGCCAAGAAGACCCAGAGAGTCAGTTTGGTTGGAGCGTGGGAGCTTAGGTGAAACTCTGGCCCTGTCTCAAAGGGCACTAAAGGAAGTGCCTTTCTATCTCCATGCTGACCAATCATTGATTAGGAGCTACCCGAGCATGAAGGATGACCTTTCAGGAGGTTACTGCTCAGGTCAGAGTGAACCTCAAGTGTGGCTAGGGCTGGTGGGCACTCATGTGAGCCCTGGCAGTTGTTAGCAGTCCTCTCGGTTTGGAGATCAGGGTCACACTTCTGCAAAGAGCAGCATGCAGTCCTGTAGTAGATGATAAAGTGTCCTAGGCTGCATGAGGACCCCTGAACGGGGTCTTCAGAGCCAACGCCACCAACATAATCACTGTCTGTGACTCGATCTCACAGCAAGTCCGAAAGGAAGAGATTCACCTAGCCCGAAGCTGAAGGTTCAACCACAGCACAGAGCCGTTTCCTCTGTTCTTCAGACTGAAACCTGTTGCCCTGGCCCCACCCCTCCAGCTTCTACGCTCAGGGTTTGCAGGACAGCAGCAGGAGTGGCCGTGCAGCCAGCTTCCTCGAGGACGTGTGGGAACTCAGCGGTCCTGCAGGAGAAGGTGAGCCGTGGGATGGAGGGCACAGAGCATGTGGGACGGGGGCTGGGTGTGATGGCCATGGTGCAGCCCAGGCACTCAGTGCATGAGGTTGAGAGGCCCTGGAAGGATGCTGAGACTGCCTAGTATGTGGTTCATCATCTCATGACTAACAAGAAAGACTTGCTTGATAGGAGGTTTCTACCCATGTCATTAGCTGCGGTTGTCTGAAAACCCATCACTTTTCCTTAAGATGTCACTGCTGCCTCTGAGGCAGATCCTCAGAACTAGGAGGCAGGTCACCAAGTGTGAATGTGCCCTAACTCCCTTCAATTGCCCACATCAAATCTCAGTGCACCAATGACTGTCAGAGGGACATCAAAGTGGGCAAGATTGAAATCCTGTTGCTGACTCCATGTCTGGGTCCACCTTGTGCTTCTCAGGAAGCCCAACAAAGGGCCATGCACACGCTGGGCCAATGCCGTGCCGCTGAGCTATGGTTTCTGCCCTTCGCGAATTTTCTTCATACAAACAGCCTTACACAGCAAGTGCCTCAATCTTGAGCGGTGGTCACACTCAGCACTGCAGGCGACCTTTATAGAACTTGCCTCATGGAGCCCAGAGTCAGCCTGACGGGTTGGTTGCACAGTCCCTTTACAAGTGGAGGGAACTGCATCTCAAAGGGTTTAGGGATTCTCAAGAGTGGTCTAGGCCCTGCTCTCTCTCTGTAGTCTTCTAGGGACTTTCTCTGTTCACTTCTGAGCTTCAGGTTATCGGGGTATTCCTAGAAGCACTTTAGAAAGTTTTGAGATGAGTGTTTCTGTCTCCCAAGCTTGGCTTGTTAATATGAAAAAAAAACCTGAGAGATGGGTGGCCCTCACTTGGGTAGACTTGTGCACAGCTCCACTTCCTAGAGGGAGGGCTGTTCTCACCCCCCTTGTTCCTGGTGGCATATCTGGTGTGATGGCCACCAGCCTTTAGAATCATGACCTGAGGATGACCCAGGAAGCAAATGCTTAGGGCCTGGTTATGAGGGAGTTTGGTGGAGTCAGAGGGTTTTGGCCTTCAGTGCCTGCCATGGACAATGTGAGTATGGGGCCCTAGGGCAGGTGTTGGGCATGTTGGAACAACAGTTTTCTTACCTTTAGAACCAGGAAAGAAATCGATTCCCATCCAGACTCCCACGAAGTGTGCACATGTGTAGAAGCAATGCATAGTGAACTGTACTTGGAGAATGCATACACACCCATAACTCTTTACTAGAGAGAATACTACACACGCACAGAGAAGGTGAGGTGCCCATTTCCCCACCTCCAGGTCCTGGGCAGTTGCTCTGTGACGTCCCATGGGACAGAGCACGTCCTCGGTGTGCGAGTTAGTCCACCAGTCTCCTGGTCAGGGCAAATGGGATCATTCTTTGCTTTGCCTTTTATAGCTATCACTCCCACGAGCGAGGTTCTGCACACTTCTGTCTGTATTGTTCTCAGCGTGTCCTTGGGTACATCCTCAGATTTGATATTGTGGTACCCTGGGCAAATCCTTCAGTGATGGCCTTTCACAGAGCTGTGTGGCTTGGCTTTCCCATCTGCTGTCTGACAGTTTCTGCCCTCCCCACACTGTACCAATGGAATGTGCTGCTGTACGTCCAGACTTCTGCTGAATGTAGGGATGAGAAATATATGCTGGGCTTACTGCTTGTCTAGGGACCTTCCGCTAAGTGGTGGAACTTAGATACCAAGATCAGATCTCCTGATGGGCTTGTTTTTACTGCTCTGGCTTAGCAGGCAGAATCAGGAAAGACACCCAGTTTTCCAGTGGATAGTGGAACTGTCTCTCTGTTTTTCGTTCTCTTTATTTGGTTGTCTAATTCTTCAAATACTTAGGGAAAGTGAGGTGGAAACATCTGGACTTTAGTAGAAAAGATTTTCCCCACTAACTTGCTAGCTTGGGGACTCGGTGGATGAAACAGAGACAAAGAGAGAGAAGGATAAACATATGGGAAGCTTGCGTCAGCCCACATTTCCTACAGTGTCCTACAGTGTGAACTCGGGCTGTGGGTTATGGCAATAACTTCCTCTTCTTGAGCCCAGGCACTCTATGGAAAACCCACTTGGCCATAATGTGCCATGTTTATAAATTCCACGGGATTCTAGCTTGCTAATATTCTATTAGGATTTGGCAACGATAATTGTATGTGAGATTTACTTGCATTTTCCCTCAATCATTGTCAGCTTTGGCCTGTGAGTTTCCTTTGCCTCCCGGAAAGTATGTGGAAGCTCTTTCCTTCCCTGGGTTCTGGAGAGTAGAATAGCATTGGAATTCTCCAGTCACCCAAGGCTCAATATCACTAATAAAATTGTTTTGAGGCACTATGGGAAGCTGAGCATTTTGATGAGGGAGCCTAAGAAGTAATTTATAATGTCTTTCATGGTTCCCTGGACTCTCTTGCTGTCTGCATCCACGTGGTTCAGACCTGAAAGGGCATATTTCTGCACAGTTACACTTGTGATTTAAAATCCAGACATTAGCATCTCTGTTTTCTCCTTAGAGTGGGATGGTCACCTACAGTCCCGAGCTAGTCAACTCCAAACACTTTGTGTTGCTAACCCCACAGTTAGCTGCTATTGCCCTGAGTTTGAAAACCTTTGCAGATGGGGAAGATCAAAAGGTCGGAAGGGTCAGTGTGGCTTCCAGTTTATCTAAACCACTTTCTTCCCTTTGACATGTGCTCAAGACCCCTGGAGTCCAGAACCTTCTGAGAAGATCATGGCTGAGCCCAGTGACAACTCTCTGAGAATGGTTCTGGTAGGGAAGACGGGGAGTGGGAAAAGTGCCACAGCAAACACTATCCTGGGGCAAAGAAAATTTGATTCTAGAATTGCACCCCATGCTGTCACTAAGACCTGTCAGAAAGCATCCCGCAAGTGGAAGGAGAGAGAACTCCTGATTGTTGACACCCCAGGGCTCTTTGACACCAAGGTCAAGCTGGAAACCACCTGCATTGAAATCAGCAAGTGTGTTCTCAAGTCCTGCCCTGGGCCTCACGCCATCATCCTGGTACTGCAGCTGGGTCGCTACACGGAGGAAGAGCAAGAAACTGTCATTAGGATCAAGGCTATCTTTGGGGAGGCAGCCATGAAGTACATGGTTGTCTTGTTCACCCGCAAAGATGAGCTGGAGGACCAGAGCCTAAAGGACTTCCTAGAAAGTTCAGATGCAAACCTAAAAAGCATCATCAAGGAGTGTGGCAACCGCTGCCTGGCCATCAACAACAAAGCAGGGAAGGCTGAGCAGGAAACGCAGGTGCAGGAGCTGGTGGAGCTGGTCGAAGCCATGGTGCAGAGCAATGGCGGCGTCTACTTCTCTGATGCCATCTACAAGGATGCAGAGCAAAGGCTGGAGAGCCAAGTAGCGCTCCTGAGGCTACTTTACACTGAGCAAAAACGGAATGAAGTTAGAATAGTAGAGGAAGAGTGCGCTCTTGGGAAACTCAGTGCTCAGGAAAAAGAGGAAATGGTACAGGCAATTAGGGAAAAATACGACCAAAAGATAAGACAAGAAGCAGAGAATAGCATACTCAGCCAGATTGTTGAAGGAATTAAGAAAATTCTTTTGAAAGTGTGGCATATTTTTCGTAAGTAGTCTGTGTATTTTTTCATCCATTCTAAGCATTTCTTCATCTCTCTCCCTCCCATCCTCCCTGCTGTCCCATTTCTTCAGCCACCAACAAACTTCTGAGATAGCAGAACCAGGAATTCACTGAGCCAGAGTGAAGACTCAGTGTCAGGCTCCCAGACTGGATTGCACACTCTGCACTCAGCTCCCTATGCCTGCCCTGCCTTCCCCACTCTGATGGACTGAAATGCCTCTGTAGCCATGGCCCAAAATCCACACTGCTCCCTATGCCAGCCTGCCCTGTCTTCCCCACTCTGATGGACTGAAATGCCTCTGTAGCCATGACCCGAAATAAACACCACTCCTTTAAGTTGCTTCTGTGAGATGTTTATCACACTAACAGAAAAGCCAAAACATAGTCTTTTATCAGTTTATAATTCTGATTTTATTGTTTTTTTATTTTTATTTTTCGAGACAGGGTTTCTCCATAGCTTTTGGTTCCTGTCCTGGAACTAGCTCTTGTAGACCAGGCTGGCCTCGAACTCACAGAGATCCGCCTGCCTCTGCCTCCCGAGTGCTGGGATTAAAGGCGTGCGCCACCACCGCCCGGCTGATTTTGTTGTTAAAGGAGAGTCTATGGTGTTAGGACAGTACAGACACATTTGTTCTGGATTTTAGAATCAATTTCTTAACCACTATGACCACCACACATCACTGTCTCCCCTGGGAATCATCTCCATGCTTTCTTTTGTATCTCTTCGGACTCACTCACCCAGGGTTGGTTAATCTGAACTCCATAGAGCTTCTGTCCCCACAGGAAATGAGTTACTGCCACACAGAGCATAGTTTGGGGTTGGTTCACAAGGATAAGGAGAGAGGAGAAAGCATCTCCCCACACTTGCTGTGAGAAACTGCCCTGGACCTCATGTCTGAGGGTCAATGCTCGAATGAATACCACATCCCACTTGACTAGAGGGTGTTAGGTGCCCACTGCTCTGTGAATTCGGGGTTTTGATCTTCCAGATGGGATGGCACAGTTGTGTCTAGAATTTTCTTTCAGTATTTACCCAGTTTCTGTGTCCTTTGTGAAGATTGATTAGAATATGAAAACAAGGCCATCAGTAATTGTTGATGAAACACAAGAATAGAATTACACGCTTTCCAAAGAAACAATTATCTCCCAAGTGTTTTTATTTTGGAGTGTTCTATTTGAGCCCTGTATCTTAAGTAGGTGATGTGCAAGCCCAGGCTCTTAGTGTTAGGCGTGCAGATCTCATCTCCTTCGCATGGTGCTGTGTATCCCAGAGTAACAGGCCCTGGGTCATCTCAGCAGGATGGCCAGCAATGCCCACCATTTAGGGACTTGAGTCCCTGAAACCTCGGTCAGTTTGCTTTCATTTTACTCAGCTGCTTTGAGTTTTCTCACAGACCCTACCCGAGCTTTATTTTTGCTTTGTCTGTCGTCGTTCATGGAAAATGTTTACTCAGGAACTTGAGGCCAGTGAGTGGCTGGGATTTTTGCTCCCTGCTCACACAGAAAAAGACAGTTCTCTGCCATCCATGAGGACTCTGTAGCTACCATCTTACGGTTTTCTTCCCACATCTAACCGGAAACAGTTACTTTTCACATGTGGCTAACCATAGAGTTCATCATACAATGTAGTTGAACTCAGGAAAGATAAGAAGTCAAAACAGAAGGGGCTCCCACAGCATGTTTGGGGAGGAAGCGGTGGTTGTTGATGAGCTTCTGAACAGAGGAAAGAGCAGGCGAGAAGCCCCTGAGCGTCCTCAGAGGTCTCAGCTAAGGCTCCTCTACTCACTTGGACCACAATCACCTGTTTACGTGCACTGAGGAGGTGGGTAAAGGAGCCGAGAAGTGGAGGAGGGTCCCAGTAAGAGAATAAGAAACCAGTTTCTGTGAAGCACAGTGAGGGGAAGGGACGTGACGAACCCTGAGGTGATTTTTTATTTTCTATAAGAAAAATGTCAGGACCTGTCCATGTCTGCCATCCGCCTGTAGATCTCGCTGCCCTTCAACTCCTTTGACGACCTGAGAGTGTCTTGCTGCCACTTCTCTTGGGCTATGCTCTGTTTCTTCCTAAAAACACATCTAATCCCTTTCCCTACTCACTGTTAATTCTTCAGCTTCACTTCTTAGAAGTGTTTTTACTGCCACCACCATCAGTGGAGCCCCTGTAACTCCCAGCGCACCCCAGAATTCTTCCTAATAACATTCACCATGGTGAAGTCTCTTCAATGGTACAACTAACCGAGAAAGTCAGAGGGGGAGGTTGTGATAAGAAAGTCTTACTTTCTGAAAAGATGGCAGCAGAATCCCTCCAGGGTGGAGGAACAGTCAGAAAAGTACCACGGTTGAGATATCTAGACATGAAATGAAATCTATGCTTTCCTAAAACAGGTTCAGATGCAACTAAGGTGATCAAAGAGAGAGGAACTGGGGATGGGAGAGATGGCTCAGCTGCTAAAAACACTTGATGTTCTTGTGAAGGACCTGGATTCAATTCCTAGCACCCACATGGCAGCTCACAACCATTTATAACTCGAGTTCTGGGGATCTGATGCCCTTTTCCGGCCTCCATGGGTACTGAATGTGTGCGGAGCACAAACCTACAGGCAAAACACCAAACACATAGCAATAATAAACTGAATTTTTAAAAAGTAGAGAATTACTCTATACTAGTAGACAAGATCACTTATTAATGTCATTGCCAAGAACTAAATAAACTAACAACTAACAGAATCTGGCAGAATCTTAAATGATTGAGATGTCTTATGGGGGCAAACAAGATTCAATATTTGAAAATATTTCCATATAACTTAAAGCATTCCAGAGCCATGAAGTAGTGCAGACTGACCACCTCTTTAGCTGCCAGACAGTAGTTAAAAAGGCTAAAACCCTGATAAACCGTTACCCTCCTACTGTAGCAAAGTATTCCATATCAACCACAGTCACCATCTTGTTTATTAAGAAACATTGATGCCATGCCATGGACACCAGGAAGATGATACGGAGGCCGCTGTCACAGCCACTATTAATGTTCTTCTAGATACTAGTTATAATAGGCTAGCAGTGGAAGAACCTCGAAGTTTGTTTTCTAAATTCAAGAGGACAAGACAAGCTGTCCACCATTTGAGCCAAAAGTGCACATCTACCAACATCAAAATAACCACAGTGCAAGTGAGAAATTGTCAGAAAATGCAAAGGATGAGTATCAATAGACATTGTTCTGAGCAAATTGAAATGACTCACTACTTCCACGTTGAGCAATCTGTATGAAAATCACAATGAAGATTTCACCTATCGTTAAAGATAAAACGGTGAGCAGAGGTTTGAGAGAAGCTACCATCAGCAAGAGCAGGGAGATGCCCTTTGCTAATGATTTTATTGTAGGCAGTGCAGCAGTGCTCACCACACTTGTCAGCCTGCATCAGTTGTTAGCTGTTCTCCCTGAAGAAGTCAGTTTAGGCAACTGAGCCGCCTGTTCCTCCATGGAAAGTCACTCGAAAATCTGAGGACATGCAATACCTTTATTACATTCATGGTTTTCTGTATCAGGAGTTCTAGCAAAGCCCAGAATGTACAACTGAGTTCTGCTGGGGCTCAGCTAGAGTGGTCCAAACGACCACAGAGAGTAGAGACAGTTAAATAAGGGGACGTGTTTGAGCCTGTGGCTGTCACCTGTTTCTAGGTTCTCAGAGGTCCAGGTGGACGTTTCTGTCTTACCGTCCAGTTCCCAAATAATGGACAGCCATTCCCCAGATAATTGATTCAGACACTTAATATAAATTACAAATGCTTGGCTGATAGCTCAAGTTTGTTACTAGCCAACTCTGCACTTAAATTAAATTATATATTTCATATCTATGCTTTGCCACGTGACTTATGACTTGTTACCTCATTTTCTACACACCCTGCTTCCTCCATGGCTGGCTGATGTCTCCTCTGACTCCACCCTTCTTCCCATCATTCTCCTGGTTTGGTTGTCTCACCTAGAATTCCTACCTGGCTATCAGCCAGTCAGTTCTTTATTAACCAATGAGAGTAATACATACTCATGTATGCAGAAGGATTATTCCACAGCACCGAGGTGCACTTGTGGAGACAGGAGTGGACTCTTCACACCTTCCCAAGGCGGCAGCACTCCTCCCCTGGTGAGTTTGCTTCCCCAAGACCAGCAGAGCATTGCAAAGTCAGAGGAGTCTAAAGGCAACGTTGGTCAGCTCTGTTCATTACCAGGCTAATAACAGGAAGAAGGCAGATTCTGTGTGAGCCCTGAGTTCACAGACGCACGGAGACGTCATTTTAGGAGCCCACTGCGTCGTCATAGCAGCTCTGCCATGTCCACTTGCTGAAGTAGGGGCTCTGAACATGCTCAGATGGGACTGTAAGAGGCACCACCTCGCATGTGCCTTTAAGGACTTGTCTGCAAGCCCTGCAGACAGAAGCCCTGACCCATCCACGGCTCCCACCAAACCTGCTCCATTCCCACTACACCGCAGTTCACACTAGAGGACCCCTTGTTCTGAACAGAACACTTCCAACATAAGGCTACATAGCAAAACTCCAGACTGAGAAGACCTACATTGTAGTCTCAAGAAAGGAGGACATCATTGCATTCCCCAGCCTTTGCAAAGCCCTAATAATTCCATCCAAACTTCTCTAAATCAGTCTCAAGCAACTCTACTGATATATCAAGGGTTTCTATAAAGTGTAAGCAATTAAATGCCAGCCTAAGAGTTTACCACTTAACTCTATCAGATGAGCACTGACCTCGGAAGTTTGCCTGCAGTGGGTGATGGCTTAAATGCCTTCATCTTTTCTACTACACCTGCAAGCATCCAGAAAATAGACTCAAATACGAGAGTGGGTTCTTATGAAGAATGGCATCACATTAACTCACAAATAAAGACTTTTAAAATGTGTTTGGGTGTTTTGTCTTCATGTATATATGTGCACCACATGCAAGCCTGGTGCCCATGGAGGTCAGAGGCCAGGAGAGGGTATAGGTCAGAAGAGGGCAGAGGTCAGGAGAGGGTGGAAGTCAGAAAAGAGTAGGGGGCAGGATAGGGTGGAGGTCAGAAGTCAGAGGTCAGGAGAGGGAAACAGTCAGAAGAGGGCAGAGGGCAGGAGAGGGTAAAGATCAGAAAAAGGCAGAGATCAGGAGATGGTAGAGGTCAGAAGAGAGCAGAGGGCAGAGGGCAGGAGAGGGTGGAGGTCAGAAGAGGACAGAGGTCAGGAGAGGGTGGAGGTCAGAGGTCAGGAGAGGGAAGGGGTCAGAAGAGGGCAGAGGGCAGGAGAGGGTGGAGGTCAGAAGAGGACATTGGATCCCCTGGAACTGAGTTATGAATAGTTTTAAGTTATCTGAGTCATCATGTGGATGCTGGGAAATGAACCCACTCCTCTGCAAGAGTAACAAGTGCTCTTAATTGATGAGCCATCTTTCCAGCCCCTAACTCACACATAAAAAGGACCACCGAATATGTGTTCATCCACTCCTGAGCATGCATTTAAAGAGGTTTGTGGTGAGGAGGAGATGGCTGTCTGTGCAGCGTGAGAATGGCACCCTGGAGCAGGACATGGCACTGTCCCTGCCCAAGCTTCTTCCGTGAACTGATCCAAGGAAGTGGCCACTGTCTTTACCTCATGACCCTCAAGAAAAGGACAGTGACCTACACCCGACATCACAGATGGAAAACTCACAAGAGACACATCTTTGTGCTTCCTGTGCTGGCAGCACCCGCCTCTCAGTAATGTCACTGTGCTCTCACAACTGCCTCTGGGGGTGTTTGGCTCTGCACCTGTCTCTCCTGTGAAACTTTGACAGCCAGCAATAAGCTGTCTGTTCATAGAAAAACCGCTTTACTTCCCAACGTGCAAAGTCTCGGGATTCAAAGCAAATTTAGTCCAAATTGACATGAAGCAGACTCTTTGCAGAGGAAGCAGGGGGATGACTGTGTGTATTCTGCGTCCTCTTCCCATCACAGGCAACAGAGCCGCCTTCTCTGGAGAGCACCGCCAGCCGGGCTGCTGCGGCATTTCTTCTGGAAGAGTGGGTGGGGGAAGAGCAGCTTATAGCAACTGATCTTATTGTGAGAGTCTGGATATTTTCGGGGTGTGTTCAGATTAAACACCCTCTTAACTCATAATCCTCACAAAGTATGCCAAGTCTAAGCCTCCCCAAGGGACAGCAGGCTAATGAAGCTTACAAGGGAGCCCTGGAAAACTTGTCAGCAACACGCCTTTCCATCTCAGCTTGGGATTTTAATAAATATTAAATCCATTTGTTCTTTTTGCTTTACAATTTTTATCGTATCTTTACCTGTGCCTCTTTCCTCCTCCAGTATTGTGTATCATTTTGCCTTAACCAAGCCTGGAGGCCTGTGATGCAGGCCTGTGATGCCAGTCAGCTGGAGAGGCCGAGGCAGGCAGATGGCAGGCTGAAGGCATGCCTCAGCTACAGAGCAAATTCAAGGCTGGGTTGGGCAACTCAGTGAGACATTGTCTTCAAATGAGAGGTAAAAAGAGGTTCCAGAGATACATTTGTTTAATGCTACAGCCCTTGCCTAGCATTATGTGCTAGGCCCAGGGTTCGATCCCCAGCACTGAAAATAAATATAACTGCTGCTCAAACGGTAGCTACCGGCCACATGAATGCATAGTTAATCATCTGAACTAAACTGTAGAGCATAGTCTCCTGTCACTCCAGTCGCACAGCCAAACATCGGAGCCTCACGAGCCCTGGGAACACTGTTATCATCGCAGAATGCGCGATAAAGCAGAAATTCTTCACAAACAAGGGCTGTGCAAGAAACCACAAGGCGGTTGTCAATAGTATCTTAATATGTCTGTGGTCTGAATCATTTCCCAGAATTGCTCTGCACCCCAGAATAAGATGAACTGTTGTGAATCAGAAGTTCGCAGAGGCCCTGCTGACTCATTTCCGCCCTGCTCTGGTCCTTCTTCCTCACTTCTCTCTTGTATGTGTCGACCTCCATGGCCACATGGCCAGGTGCTATAGGACACAGGGACAAGGTTCCTTCTAAGTGTGGTGTTACAGGGGCAAGACTGGAGAGGGTGGGCCAGGAAGAAGGTTCCTTGAGGAGGTTCCCACCCCTCTAGTGAGGATGAACCTAGGCCTCACACGTTAGGTAAGTATTATGCCACTATGCTATATCCCCAGGCCCCTTTTTAGTTTTTATTTTGAGGCAGGGCTGCCTAGGCTGCCCTTAAACTCACGATACTTCCTGCCTCAATCTCCTAGAGTTGGACACGTCTGCGTTTGTTGGGGACATCTTTAAAGCTATGCTGAGACACAGGCTCAAAGGGTGGAACAAGAGAAATATCAGCTTGTCCAACCTATAGGAACGGCCCAGAGACTGGCTTTCCCTCCAACCGGCCAGCTGGCAGTCCCCAGTGTCTGGCTATTGCCCGTGCCCAGAGGTTGCATCTGCTGAAGAGAGATGCCTCTAGGTTAAGCGTTTCCTTCAGGGGAGGTTTACATTAATAACCAGATGATAGAGTTATAAAATCCCGCCCCTCTTCTTCAGTCTCAAGATCAGTGCTAACTGTAGAGTGCCTTGTGGAGTCACCATTTGTTGTGACTGTGTCTCAGTCTAACTTGTCCTTGGCCAATCCTGTTCTTTCCTTCCCTTCTCAGCCATAAATCTCAAGACGACTCCCTGGTGGCTCCTTTCATCACCGCCTGTCTCCCACCTCAACAGCCCATAAGCCTTGGAATCCAGTCTTTACACGTATGCACACGCACACGTGCACAAGGATACACACACACAAATACATGTATAGGAACAACATAGTTTGCAATACTAATAGATCAAAAGAAAAAAATTAATGTAATCATTCCAATCACCATTAAAACAGATTTTAAAATAGCTCACACCTCTGATAAAAAGACCTTTACTTAGTGAAATAGGAATGAATGAAGTCTGCATGCACTGTTTAAAAATTAATCACTAATAGCCAATATCAGCCTCAGTGATATTAGGTATTCTATTTTTTAAATTTTTCTTTTTTGTTTACTTAAGTACTGGGCATAGAACCCAGGACCTTGGGTATTCTAGGTAAATGCTCTATCAGTGAGTTACACCCCTAGTCTTTGATGTTTTGTCTTTTTTTGAGATGAGGGTCTTTTGTTTTGGTTTGGTTTGATTTGGTTTTTCGAGATATGGTTTCTCTGTGTAGCCCTGGCTGACCTGGAACTTGCTTTGTAGACCAGGCTGACCTCAAAATCACAGAGATCCACCTGCCTCTGCCTCCCAAGTGTTGGGAGTGAGCCATGCGCACCACACCTGGTGAGTAGGTGGCTGTTCTTAAGTACCCTAGAAGCCCTTTGATCTGTCATCCTCCTGTCTCAACCTGGAATCTAATTCATGTAAGAGAAATCCTTAAAGAGCAAGAGGGAACTGAAGATTAGCAGTAACCAAGTCTAGGACAGAGTGAGACCTCGGAGTCCTAGATCTTCCTTCCCTTCCTTGGCTATGGCACTATGTTTGATGCTACTGACCCCGCTGGACACAGACACCCTTGGTCACAGTGCTTGATTCTATAGGGAAATGCCAAGACCACAGCTGCATGGCAAATGTTTCTGTCTCTTTAAGCCGTCATCATCCGGCCTTTCTCTGGGTTTCCTGATCTCTGGGACCCAGGCCGCCCAGTGACTTCCTCTCTGCTCCGCCCTCAGCACCGAGAGACCAAGAGACCTCTTTACTCATGGCTGAAGGGAAGGCAGGAGTTCTCTGGGGCTTCTCTGGGCCACTTTAAAGTCTGTCACCAAGAAAGGTGAGCTCGAGCCTGTGAGCAGGGTGGAGAGGGGGCTGGGCTGTGAGACCAAAGTGTCTGCTGCCTACACACAGGCAATTTACAAAGCACTACGCAGGAGCATACCATGCTAGCGCATGCGGCGCAGGCAAGACGCCTGAGGGGTGGTCTGGGTTTCAACCTGAGCAAGTTCAGAGGAAGTCTTAGGAGTACACAGATTCTTGATGGGCAGATCTTGTCTCTTCCCAAACTTCTTTCATACGGTAAGAGAAACCTATTCTAGATCCCATTTCAGGAGCAAAGTGCAGTTTAGAAGGTACCATTCCTCAAACTGCACATACAACAAATGCAGAAGATGCTTCTATGTCTCTATAAACCATGCCTTCAAGGCCAGTCTTGATGTGCCAAGTCTGCGCCCCTCTGAAGTCTCTTATTCTCACACCTGTATGCGTGTGCATGGGGAAGGGGCTCTAACACACCTCAGAGGAATGGAACTTGGTCATCAAGCCCTGTCCCCACCTGTCATTTAAACCTTTGCTTCCTGATTGAAGTTTGTCCTGCTCCAACTATAGGGACCTCACAGTTTTTTCATGTCTACAGTGAAGAGTTGGAGAAATAGCTCATTTTCAAATGCTGGGTGTGGATTAACCTCATGAGGAACGATCCACTTGTTCTAGCAGAACCACCAAGGATAGGGCCAAAAGATGCGATGTCCAGGGGAACACCTAAATATTTCAGAGAAACATCAAGACAAGAAACTAGATAACTCCTGAGTTCTCTTAAACATGTAGAACTGTTCTTGCTTTATATTCCCAGATAATTAAAGCCATTTGTCACCAAAGATTTCATTCAATATTTGTTTTTCTCTTTAAAAAAACATTGAAAATACTATTGGCTTCCACTCTGAACTCCGGGGAGTCCTGGGGGCTGCCCTGGCCTCCCTTGAGTCCATGCACACGCTTCCTCATTTCCCCCAGGACAAGGTCTTCAAGCTCCTGCAGAAGTCTTGTTCGCTGCTCTCAGTCTTGTGGCTGCTTCTTCATTTCTGCATCATTTGTGGAATTTGCTGATTCCCGCACCCAGAATGGTGAAACAGAGCCACACAGTGAGTTCTACTAAAGGCTTTGGGGAGAGGGAAGAGGCGTTAACCCAACCTATTCCCAAAGGCCCTCTAGGGAGACAGGGTGTTGAGTTATCATCTTCCTTTTTCGTGTGTGTGGTGCCCACAGGGGGGAGTGTGGGAGGAAACCCATCACCTAGAGTGGAGAGAAAGAGACAGATTCTGAAATGATGAGAAATGCAGACAAGGAGGGCTGGAGAGACTGAATCTGGGGGCTGTGCAGTCACAGACCGAGGCCTGTTCACTGGAAATGAGGCTGGAGCAGCAGACTGAGGGGACACCGTGCTTTGTGCTTAGGGATTCCTGGCACATGTGACCAGAGCGTGCTTGGCTGTATCAAATAACTGTGCTGTCAGAACATTTTTGGTGGAAGGGAAGTTGCTTAAAGAGAAGGGCTCAGAAACTCATAAGACAACTTCGTGGAGCTGGTTCTTCCATCCATCTTTACTGGGCTCAGGAGAGCAAGCTCAGGTTGTCAAGCTAGCACTGCAACCATCTTTCTGGTCCCCCCGGAAACTATTCTTCAAAAATCCAGATGCTTTCGATAAGAAGGAAGAGCAGATTTTCCTGTGGTGGATAAAAGCACCCACCATGTCTCTGCTCACCTGGCCCCTAAAGCCTTGCTTTGCATTGCAGTGTCCTTGCTCTTTAGACTTAGCCTGACATTGTGGCTGGTTTTGCCCGTCTGCAGGAATGAGCGCATGAATGAGGAAATCGTGACTGAGAGTCCTGAGAATCATGGGAGGAAGGAAGATGGCAAGAGACGAGGAAAGCACCTATGGTAACAGCCCTTCTCTCAATGCATCCCGGCTGGTGTGGGCGCTAAGGGTAGGAAGTGGGTGGAGCTTCCTCAGATCTGGGAGCCCCTGGGATGAAACAGCAGGACCCATGCCCCTGCCCTGCTGAGAGAAGCTCACAGCTTTGACCCCCCTGTCACTGGCTCCCACAGCATGAAGGAGGATCCTAAACCTACTCTGGTCTCCACAAAAAAATGATACAGAGGATGGGAAACCCAGGACTAGAGTGAGCCTCACTCACCAGGTCTCCAGTGTTAGAATAGAGGGCTAACTGCGTATTTAGTATTTGGGGGGTCGGGGAGATGACTGTGGGTAAAGGCACAAGCAGCCAGGACAGATGGGTTGACTTCAACCCCTGAGCCAACCAATGCAAGGAGGGAACTGAGTCCTGAAACTCTACCTTTAGCCTCCATAGGACACAGTGATATGGCGTCCCCATAGATAAAATGTAACAAAATATTATCCAAAGGGGGGCCTTCTCTTTAAGGAGCCAACTTAAGACAAGAGAGGAGAAAGAGGGAAGCAGGTTAACTGTCCTCTCTAACAGCCCGAGGAAAGACCCACATGGTCTCCTCTTCTGTAGGAGAGGTGTGCCCTAGCCTGAGCACTTCCTGCCCTTACACAAGCCAAGCACTTGGTGGGCTGCGATCCAACCTGTGCCTGGGGCTGAGGGGCTCCCCTGTGCTCGATGACCAGCATCTGTGGGGGGAATATTAGGGTCAAATCAGCATCAGGTCTGCCTGTGTGTGCAGAACCAGAGGTCCTAATAGACCCAGGAGTTATAATGGACTCTTTCTGAAAGGCAGCGGGAGCACCTACAGGTGCAGAGAATACAAGGGCAGAGAGGAAAGACCAGGAGGAGCCTGAGCTCTGAGAGCCCAGAGCAGATGGGAGCACCAGTTTCCAAGGGGAGCAGGCACTGCGGTTCGTTCCCTTTCGGGCTGAAGGTTAGAACATAGGTGAGCCCCAGGGAAAAGCCATGTCTCTGACTCAGTGTTACCCTATCTGGTCCTCAGGCTTGGAGATGGATTCACAGATCCCAACAGGGCCCCCACTGAGGCTCATCCTGGTAGGTAGGACCGGGACCGGCAAGAGTGCCACTGGAAACACCATCCTCGGCCGGACCTGCTTCATATCCAAGCTGGGGGCTGTGCCTGTTACCAGATCCTGCTCCTGGGCCAACAGGAAATGGGCTGGCTGGTATGTAGAGGTGGTGGACACCCCTGATGTCTTCAGCTCTGAGGTCAAACAGAACGACCCTGCGTGCTCGGAGACAGCCCACTGCTTCCTACTGACGTCGCCCGGGCCGCACGCGCTACTGCTGGTCACCCAGCTGGGTCGCTTCACCACTCAGGACAGCCAGGTGCTGGCCGGGGTGAAGCGGGTGTTCGGGGAGAAGGTGATGGCGCGCACTATTGTGGTGTTCACTCGCAAGGAGGACCTGGCAGGAGAGTCTCTGCAGGATTACGTGCGATGCACAGACAATCGCGCGCTACGGGAGCTAGTGGCTGAGTGCGGGGGCCGCGTGTGCGCCCTAAACAACCGAACCACTGCCCGCGAGCGCGAGGCACAAGCTGAGGAGCTGCTGGGCCTGGTCGCTGGCCTGGTGAGGGAACACGGGGGCGCGTACTACTCCAATGAAGTGTATGATCTGGTGAGGACCCTGTGGAGCTCTAACCCCAAGGACCAAGTCAGCAAGGTGGCAGAGATGGTGGCAAGACGCATGCAGAGGCCCCTGCGCACCAGGCTGCTAACTGGGCTGTGGGACTGGCAGAAATCTTACAGGAAGAGCTGGAGACGGGGCGTGGCTATTTTCCTGGGTGTGGCCTTCCTGATCTACCTGCTGGTCTACAGAAAGACAACTCAGGTCACTGGGGACCAGAATAGCAGATAATGAATGCTGGTCTTAGAAGATGTTTTAACTAGGAAGAAAATATTTTTAAAAAGGAATGCTTAGATCTCTGCTCAGAGCTCGCAGTACTGCGGGAAACACGGTATCAGCTTTGCAAAGGCTTCGGAGGTGATGAGTCTCAACTTTAACTACTAGAGTTTAAAAAAAATAAAATTTGTCTAACTAAAATTTTCCTTTAGACCTTTTCATCATCCCTGTGGTTCATTCTTCCCTTAAAACAGCAAAAACTCCTGGTAGCTTGTAAATGGGGACAAAATCACAACACAAAGAGAGCAAGCATTTCTTTTCTTTTTAAAACTTATTCTTTGGTAATTTCATATAATAAATTTGGGTCATATCCTCTCACTTTCCCCAAGTCCCCACCACCTCCCTCCTCTCAGAACTTCATGTTTTTTTGTTTGTTTGTTTGTTTGTTTGTTTGTTTTCTGTCTTAACAGCAACACGAAGCTGGATTTGTTGGCCAATACTCCTGAGCCTGCCCTGGGGTGTGGCTGATATACCCAGTGTCACTTCATTGAAGAGAATCCATTTTCCTTCCCCCAGGAGTTATGATTTGTGACTAGTTTCTTGGTTGGAGGGGGCATTTATGTCTGGCTTGCACTTGCTCGGGTGCTGGGCATGCCGCCACAGCCTCTGTGATCACGTGTGCATCTGCCCTGTTGTGTCTAGAAAGTTGTTTTCCTGAAGTCACCCAGCAGCTGAGGCTCTTAGGGTCCCCCTGCCTTCCCTTCCACAGACATCTCTAACAAGATGGCGGCCAGGAGTTTCTTCCCTGTGCTCAAACCAAAGCCCGGGGTCTGGAAACTGGCTCCCTAAATAACAGTCACGAGGATAGAAGGGTCACTGCCTGCTTTCTAGAGAACACAGGCACGTGGCTTCTTTGGGCTTAGTTTGTTTCTCTGTGAAAATAGATATCGAGTTTGGAAGCTATCAAAAAATTTTTTCATTTTTTTTTCTTTAAACAAATAAATTATTTCAAGATGGGCTTGATGGCACATGCCTGCCACTCAGGAGGCAGAGACAGGAGGGTCGGGTGTTCCTAGCTCAGGGCCCTGGGTTCAATTCCTAGTTGGGGGGGGCGGGTGTTAATGTGTGAACTCTTGACAGTTAGGTTTCTGGGAGATTCTGGCTTTGTCTGAAGAGTTACAGCCTGCCAGGATGGGTCAGGGTCTGTTAATTTCTCCCCACTTCCCACCCTGCCCTAATAAACCAAACCAGAAGGGATCAGCGTCTGTTGATTTCCTTCCCACTTCCCACCCTGCCCTAATAAACCAAACCAGGAGGGATCAGGGTCTGTTGATTTCCTTCCCACCTCCCACCCTGACCTAACAAACCAAACCGAACTCACTCCAGTGCTATCTGCTAGGTTGAAACTGTATGAAAATATAGAAGCCGAGGGGTGAATAAAAATCAAAATGGAAAAAACTCTCTCTAACAGGAACATAGCTACCCCTCAGAAGTCTTTCTCTTTTCCTTCCTTCCTTCTTTCTCTTTTCCTCTTTCTCTCTCTTTCTTTAAAAAAAAAACAAAAACACAATGTAAGTCCTTAGACACCTTTGTCCTTCCTATCCCCTTTGCTTTGAGATGTTTATCCCCTTAAATCCTTTTTCCTCTCCAGGTGAAGAGCAGAAGGAGCTGGTGGAATGCAAACATCGGGGAAGGTCAGACCCTGCTCCTCAGGGACACAGGCTCTAACTTAGGTTGAAGCCCTCTCCTCCCATCGCAGACCTTCCTCTTGCCCGAAGGATGTGGGGTGTTGTAGGAGCTGCAGGCTGCATTCTGCCACCCAACTCCCGCCACCAGCTAGCTTTACCCGAAATAACAACACACAAACTGTATTCTTTGAAACACTGCTTGGCCCATTATATCTAGCCTCTTCTCAGCTAACTCTCGCACCTGGACTAGCCCATTTCTAATAATGTGTGTAGCACCGAGGTGCGCTTACCGGGAAGATTCTAGCCTACGTCCATCCTGGGTCGGAGCTTCATCGCATATGCCCTGGCGATGAGCTGCATGGATTAATCTAGCTATGAGAGCTAACCAGTAAGAGGCTAGAGCTAATGGGCCAAGCAGTGTTTAAAAGAATACAATTTGTGTGTAATTATTTCGGGGCATAAGCTAGACAGGCGGCCAGGAGCTGGGCTGTGGGAAGAGGACAGCAGCTCCCTCAACAGAATGGCGCCCAACGTGGGGCACGAACCCACGACCCTGAGATTAAGAGTCTCATGCCCTACCGACTGAGCTAGCCACGAGCTGGCTTACCAGGAAAGATCTTAACCTGCGTCTGTCTGGAGTGGGAGAATCATGGCGACTCCTCAACTCAGCTTCTTTCTCCTAGCATTCTGTTCTGTTTACTTCGCTTACCTATGTTCTAACCTATAAAATGGACCAAGGCAGTTTCTTTATTAGCCAATGACCTTCCTCCATCAGTGGGGAGCTTATTTCCCTCCTGCTAAAGACACAGCTGGTCACTACCAATTAGGAGAAAGGACAGTGACCCTAATAACAGGGCTGCCACATCCTCTGGAGGAAGAGCTATGGCTTCTTATTAGACTGTCTCACTCCGTGGCCTAGGCTGCCTTCTGACTCAAGGCAATCCTCCTGCTTCAGCTCCCTGACAAACAATGATAAGAAAAAGCCACCATGCTCAGCTTGAGTTATGTCTCCTCTTGAAAATGGATGCAGAGGACTGCATCTATCTAGTTTAAACTCTCCCCACCACCCCACCTCACTGCAGTCTCTTAGCATGTCACCTCCTCAGCTCCGCTGAAATCCTAGTATCCATAATCTAAAGCCAAGCACACTTCCTGTCAACAGAAAGCATCATGGGGGAATTCTGAGATGAGAACCACCTGCATAAGCCAGAGCTGGGTTTTTTGCCCAAGGTTCAGTACTTAACAGGTGCAGTCAGGTAAAGAAATGCTCCACACAGCAGAGAAGAGGCAGTCAACACCCAGTCTCATGACTGAGGTCAGATGCTCTTTGAGGGGGATGTCCAGGCCCTCTGGGACCAGCAGTGCTTTTCTGCCCCCGTTTAGGGGACCCGTCTAAAGACAAAGTGGTCACGTGGGGCCCAGGGTCTTGGGGGTGAGCAGATGCTCACCTTTGGTGCTAACAGGGGGAATCCAGGGCCCAGCACTTTCCAGTCTTCAGAGGGTTTTCTGGAACCTGGGGGATGGGGCTGTCCTCCACCGCCCAGCATCTGACTCCCAGTGCTTTGTGTGCTCAGACCTTTCTGAAAAGGAAATGAGTAGGGCAGGGCGGCCTGTCAGCTTTCCACAGGAAGCAGCCATTTACCACGGCAGCTCTGCTGTGTTCTGGCGAATTTCAGGTCAGCGTTCAAGGCCCCGACTTTAGGGGACAGCCTGCGGGGCAGTGGCATGTGCTGTGTCACCGTGTTTTTCCTTCTTTACCTGACTCTGGAGTTACGGCTCTGCAAGTGGCCTTTCTGTGAGAGCATCATCCAGCAGACACAGGTTCTCTGCCTGCCGGCAAGTGACTCACACTGGTGACTGGAGGCTGAGCCCTGCTGGCCCCGGTAAGGAGGAGGCTCTGGCAGCCACTTGGGGGCCGGGAGGACCAACGGGGACCTGTTCTGCTCCTCTTTAGCGGGCCCTCAGGCGAGCTCTGGTACTTTGGGTCCCCTGGACAGTGAAGTGAGCATCAGCGACAGCACACGGTGGGGCAGAGCCCTGAAATTTCCATGTCATCATCCCCAGACCCATGGGGATGCTGGGACTTTCCGCCCCATTGCCTGCGCCTTTCTGAAACCCTCGGTTTAACAAAGCTGAACCAATGTTTCTTCCTCTTCGGCAGGTGGGAAACTTAAAGTCCCAGCGCCCAGGTTTTCCCAAGACCCCCAGCAGGTGGCGAACTCTCCCCCATTTTTACCCCAGACTCCTCAAAGCCCACTCAGGTCAAACAGGCTTCACCCCTAGGAGGTCAGCATGGGGCCTTAAGGCTCTACAGACCAGGGTGGAATCTCCGTGTTCTCTCCATCATGATCCAGTCCTCCCCTAGAAGGCCAGTCAGTGAATTCTATCTCCTGATCTTGTTCTGAAACCACCCTATTCTGCACAGTCTGTGTAGCCCACACCTTTCCTATAACACAGCCCAAGACACTGTGGCAGGCCAACAGCCGTGAGTTCAAGACTCCTGTGAGTGCTCCCCTTGTTAGCTGAATCTTACGGGAGAGGGTGGTTTTCCTGGACTCTTGATCACCAACCTGCTCTGTGACTCCAGGACCTGGATGTAAAGTCGAGGGGAGAGGCAGATGGGTGGAACAGATGTCACTGAAGATGTTTTTGTTTAATTTAGTTGTGTCAGAGAGTACAGCACACACCGGTGCTACAGGACACTTGTAGAGGTAGGAGGGCAGCTTTCTGAAGCAACTTCTATCCTTCTACTTGGTGCAAACAGCATCTTTCTTGTTGCTGCTACACCATGGGCTTGCTGGCCTGACCGCTTCTGGCCAAGTCTCCTCTCTTCACCGGCTGCCTCGCTGTGGGAGACATTGGGATTGCGGACGCAGGCAAGCATCTCCAGCGTTTCACTAGCGTTCTGGGCCTCAGAGTCAAGTCCTCAGCTTGTGCAGCCGTTGCTCTGCCCCTGTGTCATAGCTGCCAGCCTGGTTCTTGCGCATCAGGAAGCCAGAAAGACCGTCTCTCAGAAAGTGGCTCCCTGAGCTGTGTTCTTACTGCGGGGTAAAATAAAGCATCCTGGTGAATCAGCTCGGCTGGCTTCAGACAAGAATGTTCATTTCGTGTGTTAGCTTGCCTTCTCCCTGAGTGACACCTGCAGCCTGGTTACCCACTGCTGCTCGCACGCTGCCTGCCAATCTCCCGTGGCCTCTGCACCCACGCTGTGGAAAATTAGCAGAATTTTCCTTTTGGAGCAGAAATCCATGTCCATTCTCGATCGCCCCACTGTGTGTGCTCTGCAGGCTGACAGCCACAGCATCAGTTCCTGTCCCTCACACACCCCCTCCTCTCCCTTTTCCTAGGCTGTTGTCAGTCTCTCTCCGGTGTGACCATTTCAGTGTCTCCTTCTCATGTGCCCTGTCTCATCTCTGGGCATGTGGGCATTGGCTCATATCTGGCAACGACTTTGTCCTTTAGTGGGACATATGTCTCCTGTAGTCCGTCTGATTCAGAAGCTTTCCCACTAATGTTGCTGAGTTCGGTTGTGACAGCCACATTGCATACATGCAAGTGATGCTGAGAACCAAGCCAGGTTCTACTGAAATCCTTCGAAACACAACAGACACCCCAGGCGGTTTTATCTTTGAGTGATTCTTGGGGGGAGGCAAGTGATATTTTTGTTTTGTGAAAACATGAACTTAGATATAGAAGTATGCTTCTTTCTCTGTGCTGGTATTGGAATGACTTCCAGCAATCAGTACTACCTTGTGGCCAAAGCCCGGGACAGCAGCATCATACACAGGGTTCCAGGACAGTAGGCTTATTGATTTATTAGGGATTATCTCCCCCAACTACCCAGTAGGTGAGAAGTCCAAGAGATGACACAGACAAAAAGAACTATTTGGGGAGGGTTGGCTATAAGGCAAATTTGTGACTCTGGGCAGCTCATATAACTAACAGAAATTCTGGTGGCCTGTCACTAACAGCACAGGGAACACAAGAAAAAGATGTGCATGCAAGAAGCCTGAATACGATGCATGTCTGCAGGGGAAGTCATGGCGGGGAAGCTCAGTTTCATCGCCACTGACACTGTGTCCTTCACAGTCAAGTCTCGGACAATGAGTAGAAACGGTGCCCTATGACTGGCAGAATTTTCCTGAGAACAGGGTATAGCTTACAGTGATAAGAAGAGTACGAGCCTAGAGAAGTATGTTCTTCTCTGCGTGCAAGGAAAGGAGGGGGAGAAGAGCGGGGTAGGGAGAAGGGGGGAATAAAGAGGTGGACAGGCAGAGCAGAACAGAGGAAAAGAAGGGGGTAGAGGAGGAGAGGGAGATGCCTTAAGATATTCTGGAAATGTGGAAAGAATGGATGGGGTTTTTATGAAGAGGCCCAAGAAAAACCTTTTTCTTTGCAAAATAAAATTGTGAAAGACGAAATAGCAGAAGCACTATCAGTAGCACATAAGCCTTGCCGTGCCCCGAATTCAGTGGATGACCAGTCCTAAGTCCTAAGAGTGCTAGAAATGCGGTGACTATCATGGAGTCCTATGGAGATTTGGGGTTCGCCTGGGAGACTGGGTAGACAAGAGCAACTTGACTCACTCAAGAGTTAAACCTGGCCATATCAAGCAAGCAGAAAATGTGCACCCCAGATGAACCAGCTGCTCAACAGAAGTGCCAAGGGGTGCCTATGGGGATTATCTTACAGTGTTCTTTGTTGTTAAAAGAAATGATTTCAGAACAGTTTGATGTTTATTAATAGAAAATGAATAAGATGTTGCAAAAAGGGCCTTCATGTTGAAGTTTAACATGGAAAAAATAGGACTGAAAATTGTCTAAGGATGTAAATACATATGCGAATACTCAAATATTTAAAAACATCATAATACTAATTGCTGTGAAGGCCAGAATGAGAGAATGAGACAGGAGGTTATGAGAAGAAAAACCCAGAACCCATGAAGTACGTCTGTGACGTTTTGATTTTTATCTGTGGTGCAACTGCAGGAGAACAGCAACCATTTCTACCCGTTCATTGCACACGGTGGCTGCTTGCTTTTAGTCTATGTTTTTAAAGATTTATTCTTACTATGTATCTTTTATTTATTTATTTTTTATTAAAGATTTCTGCCTCCTCCCCACCACCGCCTCCCAATTTCCCTCCCCCTCCCCCAATCAAGTCCCCCTCCCTCATCAGCCCGAAGAGCAATCAGGGTTCCCTACCCTGTGGGAAGTCCAAGGACCACCCACCTCCTTCCAGGTCTAATTAGGTGAGCATCCAAACTGCCTAGGCTCCCACAAAGCCAGTATGTGCAGTAGGATCAAAACCCAGTACCATTGTTCTTGAGTTCTCAGTAGTCCTCATTGTCCGCTATGTTCAGCAAGTCTGGTTTTATCCCAGGCTTTTTCAGACCCAGGCCAGCTGGTCTTGGTAAGTTCCCGATAGAACATCCCCATTGTCTCAGTGTGTGGGTGCACCCCTCGTGGTCCTGAGTTCCTTGCTCCTGCTCTCTCTCCTTCTGTTCCTGATTTGGACCTTGAGATTTCAGTCCGGTGCTCCAATGTGGGTCTCTGTCTCTGTCTCCTTTCATCGCCTGATGAAGGTTAATATCCAGGAGGATGACTATATGTTTTTCTTTGGGTCCACCTTCTTATTTAGCTTTTCTAGGGTCACGAATTATAGGCTCAATGTCCTTTATTTATGGATAGAAACCAATTATGAGTGAGTACATCCCATGTTCCTCTTTTGGGGTCTGGGTTACCTCACTCAGGATAGTGTTTTCTATTTCCATCCATTTGCATGCAAAGTTCAAGAAGTCCTTGTTTTTTACTGCTGAGTAGTACTCTAATATGTATATATTCCATACTTTCTTCATCCATTCTTCCATTGAAGGGCATCTAGGTTGTTTCCAGGTTCTGGCTATTACAAACAATGCTGCTATGAACATAGTTGAACAAATGCTTTTGTCATATGATAGGGCATTTCTTGGGTATATTCCCAAGAGTGGTATTGCTGGGTCCAGAGGTAGGTTGATCCCGAATTTCCTGAGAAACTGCCACACTGCTTTCCAGAGTGGTTGCACAAGTTTGCATTCCCACCAGCAATGGATGAGTGTACCCCTTCCTCCACAATCTCTCCCGCAAAGGCTATCATTGGTGTTTTTGATTTTAGCCATTCTGACAGGTGTAAGATGGTATCACAAAGTTGTCTTGATTTGCATTTCCCTGATCGCTAAGGAAGTTGAGCATGACCTTAAGTGTCTTTTGGCCATTTGAACTTCTTCTGTTGAGAATTCTCTGTTCAGCTCAGTGCCCCATTTTATAGTTGGGTTGATTAGCATTTTACGGTCTAGTTTCTTGAGTTCTTTATATATTTTGGAATCAGACCTTTGTCAGTTGCGGGGTTGGTGAAGATCTTCTCCCAGTCAGTGGGTTGCCTTTTTGTCTTAGTGACAGTGTCCTTTGCTTTACAGAAGCTTCTCAGTTTTAGTAGGTCCCATTTATTCAGTGTTGTCCTTAATGTCTGTGCTGCTGGGGTTATACCTAGGAAGAGATCGCCTGTGCCCATCTGTTGTAGGGCAATTTCTCTTCTATCAGGTTCAGTGTGTTCGGACTGATATTGAGGTCTTTTGGACTTGAGTTTTGTGCATGGTGATAGATATGGATCAATTTTCATTCTTCTACAGATTGGCATCCAGTTATGCCAGCACAACTTGCTTTTAGTCTATGTTTTTAAAGATTTATTCTTACTTTTATGCTTGATTTTAGTCTATGTTTTTATTTTTTTTATTTATTTATTTATTTTGGTTTTTCGAGACAGGGTTTCTCTGTGGCTTTGGAGCGTGTCCTGGAACTAGCTCTGTAGACCAGGCAGGTCTCGAACTCACAGAGATCTGCCTGCTCTGCCTCCCGAGTACTGGGATTAAAGGCGTGCGCCACCACTGCCCAGCTTAGTCCATGTCTCGCCTGTGACACCAGCCATCCCTGCATGAACTCTCAGATCAGATTAGTCAGCTGGTTTTTAAAACCTTGTAGTTTTAAAACATATTTGTGCTTGGAGAAATGCACATGAAAAAATACAGAATAAAAAAAAGATACATAGTAAAAATAAATCTTTAAAGATTTTTTTTTTTTGTCTCGTTCTTGCTCATACGAGAATGCTCCACAGATTTACACTTCCAGCCTGGCAGAGATCATCCATTCATCTGCAGGAAACGCCTGCTTTCCCACGAGTGAGGAGGAGCAATAGCATACTGTCTGTGCTGCAATGCCCCTGCCTCACTCCAGCCAGTTACTTGCAGATGTTTGCAGTCAACATAGGTGCGAGAGTTAGCCGTGGAAATGGCCATGCGAGGACAGTTACCCCGAGCTACCTGAGTCAAAGTGCCTCGCCAGTTCCCACGTGGACGTGACTTTAATTCTTTCCTGTTTCGGTTCCAGAAGAAATGGAAGGCCTCCGGAAGAGCACATATGGAGCCATAGTTGAAGGTAAGAAAGCACCAAGGTCCTCAAGGGACCAAGACCCAAAACAGGTTCAGACGCTCAAGATCAAGAGGGAGAAGACAACTGCCGTTTGTTCCGTGTCTCCAGATCTCTGTGTCCAAGCCGCTGCTGTGTTCATGTACACATATGCACACATACATACACACAGGCATACACATACACATGCACAGAGACACACATGCACAGACTCACATGCTTGCAAACACACACATGCGCGCACACACTCCATGGTGACACTCTCCTCCACACGATGTGGTGAAACGTGATTCTGACACACGTTCAGGGTTAGAAGGGCCTGCAACTAAACAGCGACAGAGTTTCTCTTTCCTCCCTCATCTCCTCTCAGCAGGGGTGGGAGAGAGAGAGAGAGAGAGGCAGACAGAGAAGGAGGGAGGGAGAGGGGAAGAGAGAGAGGGAGGGAGGAAGGAAGGAAGGAAGGAAGGAAAGAAGGAAGGAAAGAAGGAAGGTTGCCCTAAAGTGATCATGTCTTACAGAACACCCCATAACACTAAGGGAAATTAAAACCATCACGGAGTAAAGGGAATCAGCTCGATTTTGTTTTCTGTGATACTGAGAATTGAGCCCCGAGCCTTACAATGCCGGATGGGCACTCTACCACTGAGCCACCCTCAGCTTTCCCCCAAATGACAGATTTTTAGGAGTGTAAAGGGCACTTAAAACTCATTTGGACTCACGGGACAGCCCCAGGTCCTCACCCCTTCAAGGCTGGAGATCTGAGCTCTTGTCTTCATGGTGTCCCTCCATCACTCCTCTTGTTACAGGCCCTGGACCACACCCAGCAATAGATGGCCTTTCTAGCATGTCTGCTTCGATTCTAACCGTCTTCTCTCCCACCCTTCTGCACTCACTCACTTTGTATCATTTCCCTGATGTTAACTGTCGCCATCTCCCACGTCAAATCCAAGTGCCCCCTTTGCTTCCTAGGCTAATCCAGCTGTCTCTGAGTGTGAGCCACTGTAGCTCTTCCACCTGGAGTAACCTCGGGGTGAGGGGGGCGGGGATAGGCTGAGCACATTCACACAGTATGTCTGGAGCATCATGGGTAAAAGAGGTGGCTGTCAGCCATGACTTCATCTCTGCCTGCTCCTTAACTAACACATATGTATTTCACAACCAGTTTTCTGGGGAGCTGCTCTGAGCATCCTCCAGGGGAGAGCACAGGGACCTTTTCTTCAGCAATGGCACATTTGTTGTGGTCCAGATGGAACAGAGCCTCTCCTTCCTGTGACTGTCCTACCCCCCCCCCCCCCCCCCCCCCGCTCATGTGTCCTAGAATGGGCTCCCAACAGGGACTTCATGAAAGCCAAGGACCACCTAAAATTACAGGCAAACAGTTGGGAGCATTTGAATGGCACCTCTTTTTCTGGGAATGAGGACAACTGATTTCAGGAGATATCCGCAAGGACCCAGTACGTCAAAGCCCAAAGACTTGCTGAGTGAGGCACAAACCTACTTTTGTCCACAGGGAGCAGGGAAGTCTACTGTGGAGCAGAATCAGGCTGCCTGAGGATCCTCCTGGTGGGTAAATCTGGCTGCGGGAAAAGCGCCACAGGGAACAGCATCCTCTGCAGAAAAGCATTTGAGTCCAGGCTTGGAGCCCAGTCAGTGACCAGGACAAGCCAAGCGGAGATGGGCACATGGAAGGGAAGGAGACTGCTAGTGGTAGACACGCCCCCCATCTTTGGGTCAAAGGCCCAGAACCAAGACATGGACAAGGACATTGGAGATTGTTACCTGCTGTGTGCCCCAGGACCCCACGTGCTGCTGCTGGTGACCCAGCTGGGACGCTTCACAGCTCAGGACACCCTAGCCGTGAGGAGGGTGAAGGAGATCTTCGGGGCAGGAGTCATGAGGCACATGATCGTCCTCTTCACCCACAAGGAAGACCTGGCAAATGAGACTTTGGATGAGTTTGTGACCCACACTGACAACCACAGCCTGCGCAGCCTGGTCCACGAGTGTGGGAGGAGGTACTGTGCCTTTAATAACAGGGCCTCAGGGGAAGAGCAGCAGGGACAGCTGGCAGAGCTCATGGCCCTGGTGAGGGGGCTGGAGCAGGAGTGTGAGGGCTCTTTCCATAGCAACGACCTCTTCCTTCATGCTCATGTGCTCCTTAGCGATGGCTGCAGTGAGTACCAGGAAGCCTACAGGTGCTACCTGGCCAAGGTGAGGCAGGAGGTAGAGAGGCAGAAGCGGGAGCTGGAGGAGCAGGAGGGCAGCTGGGTGGCTAAGATGCTTTGCAGAGTCAGGACATGCTCGTGCTCCCAAATCGCAGCAGCCACCCTTCTTATTGGGTGTGGTTTGATTTTTATTGGCATTTTAATTAACTTTTATGTTAACCAGTGGAACTGAGCCTTTTCAGGTGATTTCTGCCATCAGCGCCCTCTCCCAAGGTTCGCATTTCTTTTTTTTTTTCTTTTTTCTTTTTGGTTTTTCGAGACAGGGTTTGTCTGTAGCTTTGGAGCCTGTCCTGGAACTAGCTCTTGTAGACCAGGCTGGTCTCGAACTCACAGAGATCCGCCTGCCTCTGCCTCCCGAGTGCTGGGATTAAAGGTGTGCGCCACCATCGCCCGGCCAAGGTTCGCATTTCTGTCTGCACTGGGGTACCTCAGTTTCACGCTCATTTGACTCCCTTGAATCAAGTATGAAAGAAAAAGAACGTATTTCTTAAGTCGTGAGCGTGAATCAAGTAGTTCCATCATAAAGGCCCGGGTCCTAATATTCAGGCATCTGCACTGGCCAGCCCTTAGGGTCCTGACAGGCTGCTCCTCAAGTGCGCCCACTAAGAACACCCCCATGCACATTAGCCATGTTCCCTCATAAAAGTCAAGCCTCGTCCACCTTCTGTCTCCTTCTCTTCCACCACTCTTGTCCCCAGGGACCAGGATCTGGCCCTCTCTCTGCCCCCTTTTCCGACCCTTCTCTCTCCTCTTCCAATAAACCTCCATTGTGAGCCCTGCTGTAGGGCTTTACTCCTTCCTGCTGATTTTTAAACTATAATCTTGGTGTCCGACCCGCGGCAGGCTCTTCTGGGCTTCCTCTTGCCCACTGGCAGCCTGAGGCATGCCGAGACCCCGGATCCCGGTCCACAGATGACAGCCTCACTTGTCCAACTAACAGGTTGCTGAGCCCCGCTAACCAAAATGGGCGTGATTGGTGAGCCTCCCTTGTCTGGCCATTCCCCACGAGTGAGGATTCGTCTGTCCGCCATGGTTTCTCACCTCAGGAACAAGCCCTGATGTCAGGCAATCCACGTGTCTCTTGGGGCTCAACACGCCATGGCCCCTGGACCTTTGGGTGATGACTCACTGGCCAGCTTCTGCCTTCTCAATCAATCCCCTCAGAACTCCTGGGACGCTAGAAATTGCAGACTTTTGCCTCTTACTTCTTTGCCTCGCTCATGGGAACTATATCACTTTCTACACCTCCAAGCGCTCAGGCTTTTAAGAGCTTCTAAATTTATCTGCCTTTGCAGCCAAATCTGGCCCAAATGCCCCTTAGATATCAATCCAAATGGCGGCTTCTGAGCACCCTATATCCCGACATTTTAAGGACCTTTGCTACATTCTGTGAGTGATCCAACAGATGGAAGGGGTGCCCTGTTTTCAAGCTTTCTCTTTCTCCACTTCAAGCCCTCTCTACATTCTTTTTCCTGGTTCTTCTACTCAGCTATGAAGCCCGTTAAGCTGCATTTCCCCCTTTCATTGAGTAAACAGACAACAAACTGGGGTTTTATACGTCTAACTCTGCTTCTTTCATTTAAGAATTCCAAAGTCAGTTTCCGAAGCAACAGTCTGCCTCTGCCGCTAAAGCAGTTTCATGCTGCCGGGTCCCTTTCCGCCATCAGCTATGCAGCGTGCGCACCCTTTAAAAGTACCCGGCAGGCAGAGCACATTCCCGTTGCCTCGTCTCTTGTCTCTTGCACCTGTCTTTGTCTCTAATTTCCTCCCTTACCCCCTTTTTCTCTCCCGTGCTTCTCTTCGTCTTGTCTGTCTGCCTCTCTCAAGTCCCCATTCCGACGCAGCCTTTCATGCTTTCACTCTCCCCCTCCCAATAAACCTCTTGCACTAACTCTGTTGCATGTGGCGAGTTTGCTTAGTGGCATACCGTAGGGCAGGGCCCGCCAGAGGTAGCCACTTCACGCTAGGAGCCAACCGGCCTGCTCCACCTGCAGCAGATCCACTCTCTTCCACCTGCAACAAATCTGCTCCCCGATCTGATTTCTCGTTCACTGACAGCTTTGCCTTCTATTCAGTACCAACAACTGGGTCTCTGGCAGTGCTCCCGCCTCTGACCATTCCCCAGGATGTGAGGCTTCATTTCTTGAGCACACTGCGATTGTGTCTCTCAGGGCTCATAGACCTTGACCCCTGTTCTTGAGAGACGATGTATTGGTCAGCTTGTGCCCACTCAATCTGGTCCTCCCTGGATTCCTGGATCTGTCTCATCCTTGGGAACTGTGTTATACACCTCCTCGCTTTTGGAGACTCACTGACCAGTATTCTCTGGACCGGCCAGTCAAGGAACTGAGAGAGAATTCTCCACTTTTTTTTTTCTTTGCTCCAAGACCTGCTTGTGTCTGTCTGCTCACCCTCTCTAAATGTTCTGTTTGCTGCAACATGTGGGTCAGATGAGGAGGCCTGCTTGTTCCTGCTCAGACACACCAGTCCCCCCCTCCTTTCTTTTTATTTGCCCGACTCCTATTTAATATAAGGTGTGTGTGTGCATGGAACATGTATTTAACCCTGTATGTGTAAATGGAAGCTGGGTTTAATTCTGCATGTATGTGTATATAACTTGGATTCAATTCTGTGATATGTACATAAAACTATTGTTTAAAAAACATGTTTTAGGGCTGGAGAGATGGCTCAGAGGTTAAGAGCATTGCCTGCTCTTCCAAAGGTCCTGAGTTCAATTCCCAGCAACCACATGGTGGCTTACAACCATCTGTAATGAGGTCTGGTGCCCTCTTCTGGCCTGCAGACATACACACAGACAGAATATTGTATACATAATAAATAAATAGATAAATAAAAAAAAACATGTTTTAAACAGCAGCCATGTAGCTTGCCTTCACCTTGACTGGTGACATCATCATGACGTAAGCAGCTGCATGGCTGGTGGCCATTTTTTACTAAGGTTAAAGAGTGGCAGTGAAGAGACAGAAATCTTTAATAAATAAATAAACACCAAGCTTCCAGAGAACTTAAATAAGTGATGTCATATGTTTGATAAATAAGATTTGATAAACAAGATATATATTCTATAATGGAGTTTCCAGTCCCCCAAGAGGGTCCTTTTCCCAGAGCTGGGCATTTGGGCAGAGGCCCCCATGGCTTGCCAAGGGCAATTGGCCTCTGTGCTCCTTCAGTCCCTGCTCACAGGCCCCCTTCTCCTGTTTCCATGTGGCCCTGGTGATCTTTCCCATCCCTTTTCCTTGTCTTCTCAGGAGACAGCCTTACGAGTGCGGCACAAATTTGTTCTGTTCCACTTTTTACTATTGACTGCCCTCAGTCATCAACCACCTGTCTCCTGGTATCGGATGGAAAGAGGGTGTGAGCTGATGCTGTGGGGATGGGGAAGGACCAGGGGCGTTCAGGTTTGTTTATGTGAAGACGGGAAAGCTTAAGTGCTGACAAGGAGAAAGCGATCTGAGATGTATAAAACAATGAAATGTGTTCCAGATTTCTCTCGCGCGCTCTGTTACTGTTCACAATCTTGACATTAATTGGTGGAATTCTGGTAAGCTGTCCGTCTAGCCCTGGCGGAGCACTAAACATTATACTCTACCACTATAGTATCACAGCCAGAAGCTCAGGGTTTCAGATTCTCTTTGGTTGCTTTCTAATGTGTCTAAAACTTATCTCTGTATAAATCCAAAGTTCTCGTGAGCTCCAGGGAGTTGCCTTAAACCCACTTCAAACAGCATTTTGCCAGGTCCACGCGGTGCCTGACTGTTATACAGAGACTGGACAGTGAAGTGAAACAGACAGATACCCCAGGGCATGGCCAACACCCCAGATATCCCAGGTTCCCCAAAGGTGACCGACGCCCCCCCCCCCCAGGTCAGCAGGAAGCAATCTCGAGAACACGGCATCCTCATCCCTGCCTCACCTGCTACCCCTTTCTAACTCCTCACCTTTTTATAATAAACAAGAGGGAGGACTGTTAGTATTCAGGTATCTGGACTGGCCTGCCCTTGGGGTCATGACAGGATCCGTCCTGAGCTGCAGGCACTAAAAGACCCCCCCCCCCCCGCCGTGCACATTGGCTAAGTTTCCTAATAAAAGGCAGGCCTTATCCACCTCCTGTCTCTTCCTCTTCCACCACTCTTGGCCACAGAAACAGATCTCTGTCCCCTTTTCTACCCCTTCTCTCTCCTTTTCAATAAACCTCCCGTGTGAGGTTGTATGCTGTGACTCTCTCTCCCGCCATTTTCAAAACTATAACACTGGGGACTTTCAAAAAGGAGGGTGTTTGGACTGTGTAGCAATGGGTGTGTCTCACCTAGTGCCCCACTTCCTACAGAGGGGATGTTAACACACAAATTTGAGAACAGAATCTTATTTTAGTCATAAGTCCACCCTGATCTCATTAGAGCTGTAAAAGTCAGGTCTCCGTCCTCTTTCCAGCCCTAAGAAAGGATAAGGACAGTGTTCATGAAGCAGGGGCTCTAAGGTATACAAGAGAATGGAGTCAAGAGGCCTGGGCATGAGTGGGGAACAGAGTGAAGAGGCTACAGGATCAGGGTGGGTCTCACCCCAGGGATTGCAGGGTCATCAGTCAAGAAACACAGAAACCAGAAAGTCTACGTTCAGTAATACAGAGAGCCAGTGGGTGGGTGTCTTGGACTTGGAAGACTGGAGAGTACAGTATTGTGCTCGACACCACATGCAGGCAAAAGTCACTATGATCAAGAAGCTGTGTGTTAGATTGTAAGGATCATGTCTGCGAGTCAGGATTCTCGATCCAGAGACAATGGCCCTGACGGGATGGAGCCCGAAGGTGTCATCGAGAGTAACTGGAATGAGATTGTGGATAGTTTTGATGACATGATTCTCTCAGAATCTCTCCTCCGTGGTATTTATGCCTATGGTTTTGAGAAGCCCTCTGCCATCCAGCAGCGAGCCATTCTTCCTTGTATCAAGGGTTATGATGTGATTGCTCAAGCCCAGTCTGGGACTGGGAAAACAGCTACATTTGCCATATCAATTTTGCAACAGATTGAGTTAGATCTAAAGGCCACTCAGGCTTTGGTTCTGGCACCCACTCGTGAGTTGGCTCAGCAGATACAAAAAGTGGTCATGGCATTAGGAGACTACATGGGTGCCTCCTGTCATGCCTGTATTGGGGGCACCAATGTGCGTGCTGAGGTGCAGAAGCTGCAGATGGAGGCTCCCCATATCATCGTGGGCACTCCTGGCCGGGTGTTTGATATGCTTAACCGGAGATACTTGTCGCCAAAATATATCAAGATGTTTGTACTGGATGAAGCAGATGAAATGCTAAGCCGTGGGTTCAAGGACCAGATCTATGATATATTCCAGAAGCTCAACAGTAACACACAGGTAGTTTTGATGTCTGCTACAATGCCCTCTGATGTCCTTGAGGTGACCAAGAAGTTCATGAGAGACCCCATTCGGATTCTTGTTAAGAAGGAAGAGTTGACCCTGGAGGGTATCCGCCAATTCTACATCAATGTGGAACGAGAGGAGTGGAAGCTTGACACATTGTGTGACTTGTATGAAACCCTGACTATCACCCAGGCAGTAATCTTTATCAATACCAGAAGGAAGGTGGATTGGCTCACTGAGAAGATGCATGCCCGGGATTTCACTGTTTCTGCCATGCATGGCGATATGGACCAAAAGGAACGAGATGTGATCATGAGGGAGTTCCGGTCTGGTTCTAGCAGAGTATTAATTACCACTGACCTGTTGGCCAGAGGCATTGATGTGCAGCAGGTCTCCCTAGTCATCAATTACGACCTTCCCACAAACAGGGAAAACTACATCCACAGAATTGGCCGTGGCGGTCGCTTTGGCCGTAAAGGTGTGGCCATTAACATGGTGACGGAAGAGGACAAGAGGACTCTTCGAGACATTGAGACATTCTACAACACTTCCATTGAAGAGATGCCCCTCAATGTTGCTGACCTCATTTGAGGAGCTGTCCTGCTACCTGGCCATAGCCAGGGTTCAGTCCTGGGGGGCTGAGGAACAGCTGGAGGGGGGAGGGAAGGGAGCCAAGGGATGGACATCTTGTTTTTGGTTTTTTTTGTTTTTGTTTTTTTTTTCTCTTTGAATAACTGTCACTTTTTGAGGCAAAAAAAAAAAAAGAAGCTGTGTGTTCATAAAACTTGATGAGCACTGAATTTTGAATTATATGTAATTTTCATGTGTGAAACTAGAACATTATTCTCCTGAATTCTTCGGCCATTAGAGAAAGGTTAAAATGAGTTGGAGAACTATTCGGGTTTTTAAATCACATATTGCTCTGCTGGAGAAGCGGAGTTTGAATCCCAGCACCCACACCAGGCAGCTCACAACAGCCTGTGATCCAGCTCTGGGTGATCCAGCGCCCTCTTCTGGCCTCCACAGGCACTGCACTCACATGTGCATACACAAACAAAAATAAAATTAATCTTTTTTAAAAATGTGGGGAAAAAAGAAAGAAAAAAAGAAAAATGTGAAAATCTAAGCTCAGTGGTGCACTCTGTAATTCCAGAACTGGGGGGGGGGGGAGACAGGTGGATCCCGGGGCTCTCTGGCCAGCCAGTCTAATGGAAAAGGCAGTGAGAGAAATGCCTTGGAATAAAGCTATCCAATGAAAGAACTCGACAATGAGAACTGTAAAACAAAGAAAGAAACTGAAGAAACCAGAAGATGAAAGGATGGATCATATCCACGAGCTGGGAGAATGAATGGCATGAAAATGTCAATACTGCCAAAACCAGCTCACATGTTCAATACAGTCTTCATCAAAAGTCCAGTGGTCTTCAAAGAAATAGGAAAAAATAACATTCTTATGGAAGAAAAGAGATTCCAGAGAGTTAAAGAATAATTCTGAACAAAAGAACAGTGCTGGGGGTTTCAATAACCTGATCTGAAACTATCCTACATAAGCATAGTAACAACAATAATAAAAACCACAAAACCCAAAACATGGTATTACCATAAAACCAGATACACAGATCAATGGAATAAAATAGAGAACCCAGACACAAATCTTTGGGGTTTTTTTCTTCTTTATTCTTTGGGAGGTCCACTACTCAGCTCCCAAATAATTACACAGAGACTTATTCTTTCTTATGAATGCCCAGCCTTAACTTGTATTATTTCTAAGCAGATTTTCTTTTTTCTTTTTAAATTTTTTATAATTTATTTTTACTTTATGTTCATTGGTGTTTTGCCTGCATGTATGTCTGTGTGAGGGTGTCAGATCTTGCAGTTACAGACAGTTGTGACCTGCCTTATCGATGCTGAGAATTGAACCTGGGTCCTCTAGAAGAACAGTTAGTGCTCTTTACTGCTGAGCCATCTCTCCAGCCCTAGCCAGCTTTTCTTAAATTATTCCATCTACCTTTTGCCTCTGGGTTTTTATCTTTCTCTATTCTATATAACTTTCTTTACTTCTTAGTCCGTGGCTTGCTGTGTAGCTGGGTGGCTGGCCCTGGGCCTCTTCTCTCCTCCTTTTTTCTTTCTCCACTCTCTTCTCTTTTTCTCCTTCTATTTATTCTCTCTGCCTGGCAGTCCCATCTGTCCCTCTCCTACCTGGCTATTGGCCATTCAGGTTTTATTAGACCAATCAGGTGTTTTAGATAAGTGAAGTAACATAGCATCCCAGAGTTAAACAAATGCAACATAAAAGAACATATTTTTGTATCATTAAACAAATGTTTCATAGCATAAACAAATGTAACACATCACCAACTAATATTCCACAACACAAACCCACACATGTGACTTTGTAATTTTTGACAAAGAAGCAAAAAAAAAACCCACAAAAAAAACAAAAACAAAAAACAAAACAAAACGAAAACAAACCCATACATCAGAGAAAAGAGAGCAAGTGATGCTGGGAAAGCTGGGTGTCCCTGTGTAGAGAAATGAAGCTGTGTCCCTGCCTCTCAGTCTGTGAAATCAGCTCAAACTGCGTCGTCTTGATGTAAGAGCTAAAACTGTTGGAAGAAAAAGTAAAAAAACTACTTCAAGATTCAGGTAAGGGGTTTCTGCAAGGGCCCTGTTCACTCTGGAAACGGTGCCAATGATTAGCAGATGGGGTTTTATGAAATTCAAAAGCTTCCGTATGGTATAAGAAACAATCACTGTGTGAGTAGAGACAGCCTTCTGAGTGGGGCAAAACCTTCACAGCTATTCATTTGCCATAGGATTAAGATCGAGATATACCAAGAACTCAGAAAAGGAAGAAATCAAATGAATACCTAGAAACAGCTAGAATTTGATAGAAAGAAATCCAACAGCACAGCTGATAAATGAGCTGAAACACAGACTCTTCTCAAGATGGGCTACAAATGACCAATTAGCACAAGAAAAATGTCTGCATCGCTAACCATTTGAGAAATGCAAATTTCTTGGGGGTTGGAAGGATGGCTCAGAGGCTGAGTGTATGTTTCAGAGGACCAGAGTTGGTTTCCCAGCACTCACTCTCAGCCGCCTGTAGCTCCAGGGCCATGGGACCTGACACCCTCAGATACTGGTGGGGATGTGAACTCGTCCAGCTACCACGGAAATCAGCATGAAGCGTCTTCAAGACACTAGAAATAGATAGCGCATGTAATCCAGCTATAGCGTATAGAATGAAATACACCTGACTTCCTCAGTTTGGGTCCAGTGTTTCCATACTGCCCTCCGCTTCTTCCTTTGGGAATGTGAATGGTTGCTGTGTGTCACAGTGTGGTGGAGGTTGCAACATGAAACATACAATAGCATATTCATCCAAGACTCCAGGTCAACACACCACAGAGAGCCACACATCAGTGTCTATGGCAGCACTGTTAACAACAGATCAATTATGGAACACCCTAAGTGGTCTAAAATGGGAGAGTGGAAAAATAAATGTGATAATATATAAGCACAATGGAACCCTTTCACGTTTATTTTTGAGAATTTCAAGTATTACAGCTATAGTTACATCATCTAATTCCGTGTCTTCCCTATTTCCTCTCAACCTCATGACCTCTTATCCTGTATTATACCTATATACCCACATGTACACACATGCACACATAAGGACTACCTGCTGAGTCCATGCATCATGGTTAGTATGTGTATGTGTTTAGGGATGACCACATGGGATTGATAACCTATTGGGAAGTTCATCCTTGGAGGAGACCGCCTCTCTCTTAGTACACTACGGTTCCCTAAGCAAGACCTGCACACAACACCTGTGGACATCACAGCAGGATTTTAGTTAGCCATGAAAAACAATGACATTGTGTCATTTGCAGGAAATAGATGCAACTGGAGTTAATTATATTAATTAAATTAAGTCAGTTTCATATTGAATATCTTCTCTTTTGTGGATTTTAAATTTTTATATAGATAAATAAAATCATGTGTGTCTCTCTGATGTGGAAGAAGTGACATTTTCTAGGGGAGGAGAGGAGCTAATGGGAGGAGAAAGATAGGGAATATGGGGGTATGCTAAAAGTACATCATAGAGTTGTATTTATTTATTTTGTTCTTTTCTTGTACACTCTAACCACAGTTGCCCCTCACTCCCCTCCCCCTAGTCTTCCCCCACCACCTCGCTTCTCCTCCAGATCCACCCACACACCTCCCTTCAGAAAAGAAGAGGTCTCCCAAGGATCAACCAAACATGGCATAGCAAGCTACAGTAAGACCAAGGCGCATACTATCATTTCAAGGCTGGACAAGGCAGCCCAGTAGGAGGAAAAGGGTCCCACGGGTAGGCAAAAGAGTCAGAGACAGCCCCTACTCCCACTGTTAGGAACCCCACAAGAACACCAAGCTATGTAGCCATAACATATATGCAGAGGAGGTAGGTCAGACACCCTACAGGCTCCCTGATCTCTGTGAGCCCCCATGAATCCCAGTCAGATGATTCTATGGGCTGTGTTTCCTGACTCCTCTGGTTCCTCCAATCCTTCCTGCCCCTGCTCTGCAGGACTCCCCCAACTCTGCCTAATCCCAACCAGAATTCTAAAGGGGAAACAGAAGAGGCTCAGGGCAGCAAAGTCTGGCAGACCAGGAGCGTGGTTTTCTGAAGGTGATGCTGATAGCTGGGAATCCTGCAGGATGCTTTAGAAACTTCTCTAAAGTACAAAGCATCAAACATTAGAATATATGAGCATAAAAATAACAGTGAGGATTGCTATGCCCAATACAAAACTAGCACAAGTCCCAGAGTGCAAAACCATCCACGCTTTGCCTCGGAGGAGGAGCTTGAGGACCCAGTTGCTCTCCTGCTCCTTCAGCTCCCGCTTCTGCCTCTCCATCTCTTGCCTCACCTTGGCCAGGTAGCACCTGTAGGCTTCCTGGTACTCACTGTAGCCACCATTAAGGAGCTCCTGGGCATGAAGGAAGAGGTCATTGCTATGGAAAGAGCCCTCACACTCCTGCTCCAGCCCCCTCACCAGGGCCATGAGCTCTGCCAGCTGTCCCTGCTGCTCTTCCCCTGAGGCCCTGTTATTAAAGGCACAGTACCTCCTCCCACACTCGTGGACCAGGCTGCGCAGGCTGTGGTTGTCAGTGTGGGTCACAAACTCATCCAAAGTCTCATTTGCCAGGTCTTCCTTGTGGGTGAAGAGGACGATCATGTGCCTCATGACTCCTGCCCCGAAGATCTCCTTCACCCTCCTCACGGCTAGGGTGTCCTGAGCTGTGAAGCGTCCCAGCTGGGTCACCAGCAGCAGCACGTGGGGTCCTGGGGCACACAGCAGGTAACAATCTCCAATGTCCTTGTCCATGTCTTGGATCTGGGCCTTTGATCCAAAGATGGGGGGCGTGTCTACCACTAGCAGTCTCCTTCCCTTCCATGTGCCCGTCTCTGCCTGGCTGGTCCTGGTCACTGACTGGGCTCTGAGCCTGGACTCGAAGGCTTCTCGGCGGAGGATGCTGTTCCCTGTGGCGCTTTTTCCACAGCCAGATACGCCCGCCAAGAGGATCCTCAGGGGCCCTGACCCTAGGGTGCAGCCATCTTCCTTTCTGCCTTTGGGGGTAAAGGGAAGCTCAGGCGTCAGAAATGATTCATGAAGAAGAGGACAAAAAAACCAACAGGAACTAACGCAAACCAATCAGGATTCGCCCT